ACACACACACACAAACGCGCGGCCGTTTTTTTTTTTTTTTTTTTTTTATTGATTGATTGATTGATTGATTGATTGGCAGTGGGGGGGTCGTCTCCCCCCCTTGAACACACACACACACACACACACACACACACACACACACACATACACACACATGCGGGGCAACTGCCCGTTGTTTTTTTGCTACGAGTTTCTTTTTTTTTCTTTTTTTTTTCTTTTTTTTCCTCGTCTTTTTTGTTTTTGATTTTTTTTTAAATCCTTCCAAGGTTAAAAAAAAAAGTAACGGGCGTCCGTACGTCCGTACGGATGGGCCGTACGGAGACCCCCTGTACGACGTACGGGGGACGACACAGCACGGCGGTAGCGGAAGCTGAGAACATGAAGCGACAACTTGAAGAAATGAGCAAATCCGTTTTGACCAGGCAACCCTACGTGGCACAGTGAATGGACTGAAATCGCCGGCTGCAAGACAGTTTATCTCTCCACGGGCGATGTTGTCGGTGGAACACCGAACTCCAGCAAAGAGGACGCCGGGGAAGCTTGCATCAGGCCCAAGCAGAGCGAAGAAGGCGAAATTGCGACAAAGCGAAGCTCGCCAGAAGGTCGTGCGATTCACTGTCAGGCGAAGGATTTTAGAAGGAAAGCAGATTTCAGAGAATATGTTGCAGAGCCTGCAGATGGGGGATCTCAAAAAGTTGTGCACAAAGCACAATATCAAGTATAAGGGCATGCAGCAGGCACGCGTAGCCCTTAGAAAGATACCGGGGGTGATCGTCACGGTCACGGAGGATATGGTGAATCCTGAAGAGAGCGGGGAGGAGGCGCAGACGAATTATCGGCAAGGTGACCACGGGATCAGCGAATCCATGGCTGATGACGCTGAGGAAGGAGTAGTGAGCGAGTCATCAGAAGACCCGGAAGAGGAAGACGATGAAAATGAGGTGTCACATGATGTGGAACCGTCGGCGAACTAGCGGTTGACTGGTCCTTCGGCTACAGGCCTCCCAACTGGGATACAATGGAGCCTGGTACGAAGATGCAGCCTGATGCTGGATGAACGCATGAACTTGAAGGAAGGGAGGTGGCAGGAGTGTCGGATCATTAATCGAGTGTTCAGAACTACCACAAGAAAGTTGCTACTTGGTGGACACATAAAGTGGGGTAGACAGATCGTGAGACTTCTTCAGAGCTACACGGAGACAGATGATGAAGCAACCAAGGTGTGTGTCTACATTTGGCTTTTTCCATGGTGCAGGCATTTCTACATCGGCAAGACCGTACGTGGCATACACACGAGGTGGAGGAAACATGTACGATCCGTTCGTAAGTCCGATCATGGGCAACAGCGTAAGCTGTACTCGTGGGTCGGGAAGTTCGGAGTACATAAGTATGTATGCCTACCATTATGGACGGGAAGTCCGACGGACGCGGAGCAGGTGGAGAAAGCACTCATCCGAAGGTGAGATCCGTATCTCAACACGTCGCACACAAGGGGACGACGAGTAAGGAGAAAGACTAGGCACGGACGTAGAGTCACACGTATCAACAGACTATCACTTACTGACATACCGGTGTGCTTTACGAATGATATGGGTGTTAGCTCGACCACACTTACCTCTCTGATTAAACCTGATGCCACCATCCGCTCGACTACTGAATCAGTGTGGATCGAAGGATGGAAAGTCATAAAGAGGAGATTCAGGGATTCTATCATACTGATTGACGGACAGAAGTTAACATTAAGAGAGGGACGATAAAGAATCGAGGCAGGGTGTGTTATGAGAGTGGTATGTCGTGTGCTCACTAATAACCCGTATAGAAAATGGAGACGGAAACTCATCTCCTTTCTCCGAGCACCATGGACACGGGCGAAGCTCTACCAGTATACACTGACGCAGATGATTAAGATGTACTTGTGCATGCGATTTATTGCTTCTAAGAAGAGCCGGGGGATATTACGCTGTTGTTTGTCACTCGTAGCAATAAGGAAGTATGTCGTGAACATTAGGAGACGTATAATATTAAGAATTCCCTACTCCCCTGATGTGGACTTAGTACGGGTTAGGTGGCTGATGGCTCATTTAATCCTAGAGACGGTACAACACGGATATCTGGCACGGACACTCGAGAGACGGATGAGGAAGATGTTTGCGAAGTCGATAACGATCAGGGACTTACTCCACAACCATCGGAAGATGGTAAGGAACCGACCCGAATATCCGTGTGGGGATTTATTGTTCCCTAAACAAGATGGACATGTATCCTTCAGACTTACAGAGATCACGGATCATCCGCTACTACTCAACTCGAGAAATGTGTCGTTTTATCCGAGTGAAAACTGTGTGCAGGCCATTAAGAGCGCTATCACTTCCGCTTTGCTGACAATACTGCCATGTTATAGGAAGGAACAGATATCTGAAATTAAAGCGGCGGGTTGTGTAAGGAGACAGGACATCCACAGGACGGGGATTAGTATCACCGAGGTTTTCGCACTTAAGAAATGTCTCAAATCTTTGATCTACTCCCCACTGGATCGGAATTCAGGGGAGACTTTCATTGAGTGTCTGATGGTATATTGGGATCGAATGCATACTATGTTTTTTGAAGTACCTAATTACAGACAGATAGGATTCACGATGGCTGATGTACTAGATACAACATCTATCACATACAAAGAGGCAGGATTACCTAAGTTTGGACCGTGGGATAGGCAAGGGCATTATGGGCATGCATACGTAATTCCCAAGGATAAGGACGTGGTTAAGAGATAACCAATCGTCCGAACTTTCCAAGAACCCTTACTCAAAGCCTCGAAGCTTCTTACCCGGTGTGTGAATTTTTTGTTGACTTCCTTGAAAGTTGGATTTGGACTCAGTGGGACGAACGATATGGTCGCATGGGTTGATCGGATTAATATGCAGGCCAAGTCGTACTTCTCAGATGAGGGTCAGGTTTCCTGTTCCACTTTCGATGTAAAAGAGATGTTACGTGTCTAGAACATAACAACATCGAAAGAGCAATGGATTGGCTAGTTTGTCAACACCTTGAGAATCAGAACACGCATTTGAGAATCAAGTTGCAAGGGAAGAAGATTGACATAGGTAAAGCGAAGGGAGTCTGGGGTTGGAAGACGGTAAAGGTGAGAGACATGTCGAAGCTGCTACGCTTTGATATCTCGCACGCTTATTTTCTTGTGCAAGGAGCATTGATGAAACAGGTACAAGGAATTCCAATGGGAAAAGGGTCGAGCCCACCGATGGCTAACCTGGTGTGCACATACGATGAATATTGTTGGCAGCATTCTCTAGGGATGGATGAGTCATTCCTGCACGGGATCCGGTTTGTTGATGACGTTTTTTTACCTATCATCCACCACAAGACTGATACCGACACGACACGACGACTGATCGAGCAATTCATGCAGTGCTACCATCCATCCTGAAGATTGAGGAAACAGTCAGCGTGCAGGACGATAAGCTGAAGTATCTGGAAACTGAAATTTTGAAGAATGATGGGCAACCCCTCCTGAAGTGTGTTCATCGGCTTAAGAATGAAGAAGCACTCCGTGAGGGGGTTTTTTGGCGCTTTCGCACGATAAAACACTTCAGGAGTTTTGACCCTAAAAAATTGAAATCCCTTACAATACTGGGGACTATCCACAGAGTTCTGACGAATACGACGGACCAAAGAGACACTGTGGGTGTACTTAGGTTTTTTTGCATTGAAGCCAAGAATCTGGGGTATCTCACGGACACCCTCATTGAGGCCATTTTGGCAATCCGAAGGACTAGGCTACAGAAGGTAGTGGCCACACAAGCGGTTATCGGGTAGCTGAAAATTCAGGAATGAAAATTCTGAAGTGAGAGTTTTGGGCAGTCTGAAAATCCTGAATGGTCATGAAGTGGTGAAAGGTCTGAAGACCCTGAAAACCACCTGTTTAGGCAGGCTGCATCCTGAAGTGGTGAAGGGTGTTCTGAAGTGGTCAAGTGAGAGTTTTGGGCAGTCTGAAAATCTTGAATGGTCCTAAAGTGGTGAAAGGTCCGAAGACCATGAAAACCACCCTTTACCACTTGAGGATGTAGTCTGCCTAAACATGTGATTTTCAGGGTCTTCGGAGCTTTCACCGGTTCAGGACCATTCAGGATTTTCAGACCTGAATGGTCCTAAAGTGGTGAAAGCTCTGAAAACCTTGAAAACCACCTGTTTAGGCAGGCTGCATCTTGGAGTGGTGAAGGGTGTTGTGAAGTGGTGATGAAAAATACGACTGTTGTTAACCTTCTCTCAGTGGCCAAGGAATTTTTACACTGGCTACAGATGACTCGAAAGGGCTAAATGGATCTCATTAACCGTTTGTTGCAGACATAGGAGTTTTTTTATATTTAATATTTAATAATTATGATTATTTTTTAAAGCACCCGATACGTTTTTGGTGCCACTGGGATAGGCAGCACTGCTGTTGTAACATGTCGGCCGACTTCTGAGAGAGGCAGTTAGAGTTCTGGAGTATGGTACCGAGGATAGGGACTACCGTTTAGAAAAAAAAAATCCAGGATCGGGTTTGCATGCATACAGAACGGGTTTTTGAATTTAGGAGACAAGTATACGGCTCCGACACAGCCGACACGGATAATATCTGTCCACGCTAAAGCTCCTAAAAATGAGCAGATGTAAATCTATGCGTGGATGTGACCAGGGAGTGGGTCCACATACAAACGATAGGAACTACCTCGAACGATGATGACCAGGGTTGTTGAGCCCGACAATCTCCGAAGGAGGTCAGAACGTTCATGGTGATTAGAACGAGCGAAGAAGGCTGGACAGGGAAGGATTGAGATGTATGGATAGAGTGTAGCGGATGGGAGAAGAGGCAGATATATAGGCATTACCTCGACTGAATACGTCGCCTGAGTGGACGAGGCAGAAGGGCGATGTTGTGGCATACTTGCAACACACACAGTTTTATCTGTGCACATTGTATCCTCCACGAGAGTAAAGTCTCACACACTGTGCTTTTCTACATGAAGTATGTTTTCTTTTCTTTTATTTTTGATGTGACAAGTGTCAAGTAGCTGTTGAGTTTTTTTCTAGGTCATGGATCTTCATCTATGGCCAGATTCAGACTCAGCAGTTGGTCGTTATATCTCGGATTGCAATAATGAAGCCCCCATGCTCATGGGGCGCTCCACTTTGTCTCCGTTAGTCTCAATTTTGAGCCCCTTTTGCTCCAATTTTCTTTTGACAACCTTTCATCTGTGTTGAGCCCCGTGGAGCTCTATTTTATCATGCCTAGCTAGTCCGAGATATCCCGGACTATCGGGCAGCCCTTTCCATCAGCATTATTTTGCTTTCTTTTCTTTTATGACTCTCTCGCTTGACTCCACTAGTGTTTGCATTAGTGGTGCTAATATTTTCCACCGTCTAGATTTTGATCTTGACGGTGCCATTTGCTTGCGTAACCATTCCTCATGTTGGTTCATGGTTCCTTTGAGACATCTCAATTCTTTGTCACGTGTCATTTGTTTGCGTAACCATTCCTCATGTTGGTTCATGGTTCCCTTGGGACATCTCAAGTCTTTGTCACTTTCCCCGTACTAGTTCCATTTTTTTGCCCGGTCAGTAGTCCCGTCAGCGCATGTTCCATTTTTCGACTCCTTTTATTTGAGTTCATTCAGTCTCCGGCATCATCCCGGACGACATCCCATTTTTATTTTGGGACCTCCTTGTCCTTGTAAGGTCCAATATCCGTTCCTCAAGTGTCCCATGTGTGTCAATTATTCTTGGTCACGAGATCCTCATCTCATGGTTGTCGTTTACCGTCTCTATTTGCCTCATGTCGAAGTCATTTTCTTCTAGTCTTTTGGGCTGGCCATGACTCATTTTCTTTTGGCCTAGGCGTCCTCATGCAGTCCGTTATTTTTCGGACTGCAATTGTGGTCATTTCCCTAGTTCCATAGCCCCACAACTTGCCCCAAACTGAAAGCAAATGAAGCACTCAATTTTCAAATGCATCCGGACTAAATATTGACTCCAAATGC